AGAGCAGGCGCTCTGGAGTCAGAGTGGCCCACCTCTCACTGGGGCGGGCAGGCTTTTGGGAGCCCAAGGGCCAGCGAAACCTCGGAGGCTGCCAGCCCCACGGCTCTGTTAGCGCACACCAGCAATGCCCCCGTGTTGGAAAGCCGAAGGCAGAGACCTACAGGGACGCGAACGCCCTGCAAGCGGGTAGCAAGTGCTTTCTCTTGGAGACATGTAGCAATTGCAAGGCTAAGCTTGACCCTCAGAGCAAGCACCCTGTCTCCTGAGGTCCACGGTGGGGACCCCGCAGCCCAGCCAGGCTTGGCACGGAGCAGAGCTATCAACGAGGCCACTTGTTTAGATGCTGAGCAAAGACATTCATATGTTTTATTGTCACTGTTTTGATTCCTTTTAAATATTGGCCGGCATTTCTGTTTTGCAAATGAATCCACTAAAGGGTGGGGAGAACTGTGGCTCCATCACTGACGGACCCGGCGAGGGGAGAGTGAACGCATCGCTCTGGTGGAGGAGCCGGCTGGCTCCAGAGATGGACTCCGGCCAGGGTGACCTGGCAGCTCGAGCGGATGAAATGTGGTCTTTTGAGACATCTTTCTAAGTCCCTGGTTACAGGCGCCGCTATGTCATCTTCCCATCCCATTTCGGTCATGTGTTTCTTTTCCCGTCTTCCCCCGGCCCACCCTTTCTTTTTGTTGGTTGCTTTGACAGCGAGGAAAGGGTATTTGGAAATAAAGGAGCTGGAAATTAAAGCAGGAGGGCTCCTTGGGACTCGCCCTGTGGGCCGTGGGGCCTCCCCGTGTTTGGTGCCCGGAGCTACGTGGTCCTCTGCACGCAAAGCGAGCTGCAGCTGGGCAGCGCCGGTGCTCCCAGCCCTCGTGTTGGCAGTGAAAAGCATGATGTGGTGGTAACGCTAAGAAACCTTGTAATGGGCGAAAGGGGAAAAATGGCCCAGAGTTTCTGATTAGCGTAATGTGAGCAGTCTAACCAAGGACTCGCTATTAGTTCAGATCCAGTTATTACAGAAAAGGAAAGAAAGAGAAATGACATGAAGTCTATCATACAGAAAAAGTGGTTTCTAGCCTTGGGGTTTCCAGTACCAGCCTGGGTCTTGGCGCTCGTCACCCCTTGCCGTCGCTGCTCTGCATCATGTCTGGCTTCCCCGCTTCTCGAGGCCTCTCCTGACCTACCGGGCCTGCGTTGCTCTCAGCCACGGCTTTACAGGAGAGTCATAAATTGCTCATCCTGCACAGAAAAATGATCTGGTTCAACTTTGGCTGTGTCCAGCAAAGATAAGGAAAAGGAAAACAAATTAAGCATCGCCAGCCGGTCGTTAGAAAAACTGCGGCAGCTAAAGCGAGTGAAAACAACACCGTGAGGAGACAAGTTCAACTCCCAGCCCGGTGTCAGCACCGTTTGGGCTCGTAGGCAGTCGGCGTAACGAAACGCACCACGAGAGCGCGGTGGAAGGGGAGGATTTTATTGCAGGAGACTCTCAAAGCGAGGTTGTTTCACGTGCACGCGCGCTCTTGCACCCGCGCGCCCG